AGCCCAAGGATCTTCCCATGAATACACACCTGCTGAACATCATTAAATGGGAGATGGCTTTTTCAGACCACATCAGAAAAATGGCATCTTGCTGGAGCAGAACCAGGAGCACCCAGCCCTGATTTTGGGTGCCTGCCCCAAGCAGGACCAGCTGCTCCTTGCAGATCTTACAAAGAGCTGTGTGCACCCTATGAGTCTCCATACTTCAGAAATAAAGGTAAACAAAACACTTTGCATTTCAGAACCATCGGACAGGTAACTTTCACCAAAAGAGCGGATTTTCTAACTGGGGAAAGCAAAGCACCAGGAAGCTCCACCAAAGGCCCAGAGGATGGGAGATAGGAGATGCTGTGCAGAGAAATCCTCCAAGGAGGTGCTGGAAGCATGAGCACGAGCGCTGCATCCCCACACTTCAGTTTGTGCCTTTCCTCCCCAGTGCTGCTCCATGGAGCTGCCCCCCCTCTGCCCAGAGCCCTCGGTGACAGCTCTCCCCTTTGCCACTTGTAAGGAGAAAACTCCTAAAGCCCAACTGCAGAAGATACAATTACAGTAAAACCTATCTTGGGGCTATTTTGCTTAAAAAGCCAATCCAACTTTTACAAGCTACAGCTGACATATATTAAGAGCTTAAACCAAACTTTCTATGACATTTTGTTGATGTTATCCCGGCTGGTGCTGGTAGACATAAGGAACAATGAGAATTACTCCATCTGAAGGGTTTTCCTCTTTCCTCGTGGGTGTCACAGTGAGCTGTGCAAGAACTCAGCATGGGGAGGTGGGCACAGCCACGATGTCACCTGCTGAGCAGCCACTGCTTTATGGGCTTTATGTGGCCAGCTCCTGTTTAATTCTGCTCCCAGTCACCAGTCTGGGTCAGGCTGCAGAGCTTCACCAACGCACCGAGGGAAACTGGAAAGTGATTCCTCCTGTGTCACATCCCTGCTTGCTTCACATCCCTTTTCTGCACCATAGATAGCCCAGCAACGCCATCTATTTTAGCTTGCAGCAGAGAAGTGCTTTGCAGTGCTTTGCTGTTTGACTCTGTAGCTGCAGCACAGATGCTCTCCACAAGCAGATGTGCTCCCAACGCTTGCTTTGCCAGCTCCTGGTCCCAGGCAGGATGGTGCTCCTGGCACTGGCACTGATGGGTCCTGAATGCTCTTAGCTCTGCTGTTACCCTCTGGGTGACTTCTGGGAAAATCACACCCTCCTCAGGGTTTTATTTCCCACCGGTTTAGTTTGTGTGTAAATCTCTGTAGCAGGGATTGTTTCAAAAAATGATGGCACAACACCCAGCGTGGTGGGAGCAATCCACTCTTCATGCATCTGAGATATGAAGAAGTCTACATTGCGATGTCACTTCTGACACACATGAAAATCAAAGTCCTTGGTGGGGAGATTTTGCCTTTTGTACTGCCACACGTTGGCGTCAAAATTACGAAAAGGCAGAGGTTCCATTAAAGCAACAGTGCTCTGGGGGTGGGTCCATCTAGTCCAGTGTTCTCTGCACTTTCAGTAACGACGTGGTAGAAAAGCCGTATGTGTGCACTGAAGCTACCAGGCTGGGTGTTTGCTGGAGGGATGTTGGGTAAGGAACATCCGTGGAGCGTGAAAAATTCCTTTGGGATCCTTGGAAAGGACTGGCATGAGCTGGTCCTGCAGGAGAAGCTCACGGAGCTGCCAGCATCTCCTCTGCCAGCACTCAAATTCTGCTTTCATAGGCTGCTGCCCTGCATTTACTTGCTGTCTTATTCCTGGTATAACAGATAGTGTCGAACCTTGCCAGGTGTTGGTGCAAAGACAGATTTCATAAAATACAGTGGTGCAGAGTGTGGCTCATCAAACAGCTAACAGATAGAACCATAGAATCACAGCATGCTTGGGTTGGGAGTGACCTCACAGCCCCCCAGCCCCACTCCTGCCATGGACTGCCATGGCTGCCCCCCCAGATTAGGCTGCCCAGAGCCCACCCACGGCCTCAGGCACCTCCAGGGATGGGGCACCCATAGCTCTGGGCAGCAGTGCCAGGACCTCACCATCCTCTGAGTGAAGAATTTCCTCATCGCACTGCACCTCAGTTCCCTCTATGGATTGACAGGTACTTCCCAATGCTCTGGGGAGCAGCAGGCACTGACTGGGATGTCCACAGCACCACGACATCCCCGTGCCCAAGCCCCGTGGATGCAGCACCAAGGCAGTGTGGTGAACAGAGAGTAAGGAGCTCAAGGATGTGGGGTTAGATGATGGTTGGACTCGACCTCAAGGATCTTTTCCAATCTAAATGATCCTGATTCTGTCCTTCTGTAATCCTATCATTCTGTGATGGTACAAATCCCACCCTGCCTGTGACCTGCAGGAGAACACGCTGCCTTCCTGCTGCATCCAGCAGGGCTGTGCCCCTCCATGGGACGGCTGCATCCTCAGCTGACAGAGACACTGTGGGAGCTGAGGGTAACGTGGGCTGACAGGTATAATCTGGAATTGCATTATCTTGTCTTACGACTCTTTTTTCTGTGTCTGTACAGCAGGGAGACCTCTGAACCGTCGTCTTTGCTCGAGCAATTAAGCTTACTATTTTGCCATTAAATCTGGTTTGGGGATAAGGGTGGGTCTGGTTCACATTCCTGAGTGAGAGCCCTGGGGGGGACGATGAAGCTACGGGGGGGGGGGGGGGGGGGGGGGGGGTGACCCTCCCACACGTGAGCTTACAACATCCCGAAAGCCCTCCGACTTCGGGCCTCATCCTGACCGGTGTAGGACGGTCTGCGGTGGTTTTACATCCCCAGAACAGCGGCTGGATTGGCGGCACTGAGGATCCCTGCAAATCCCACCCACCCCAACATAGCGGGGAAGCGAGGCCGTCCCCGTTTGTCCCCGCGCTGTCCCTCCGGCTGACGATCGGCCGTTCTGCGCTCGTACTCCGAGGCTTCTTTAATCGCTGCGTTCTCAGCACAGCCGGAGTGATGCGATATTTTGGGAGAGGTGTTTCAGATGACAGCACTCACGGCTGTGAAGCGTCGCTAAACGGCCTCGAGAGCCCCAGAGCCGGCAGTGCCGCGGTTCGGTTGGACACGCGGTTTGCACGGGGCGCTGCGTTGGTTCAGCCCCGCGGGGCTTCGCACGGAGCCGCCCCGCCTGTGCCCGCACTGTCCCGCCGCGGGACGAGCGGTCCAGGACCCCATTCCCGTGGTCGGGGCCGCCTGCTCCACCTTGGACCTCGCCCGTCTCGACAGCGTGCCGCCCTGTCGCGACACGGCCCGGTCCGCCGCACCGCGCGCTGCGAGGCTCGGGCCGCTCCCGGCCCTGCCGGGCGCTCAGCCAATCGGCGCCTCTCCTCACCGCCCACCTTGCCGGCGCTCCGCCCCCTCGGCCCACCCTCTCTCCTCATAGGCTGCGGTCGGGCTCATTATGCGGCGTGATGCGGCGCTGATTGGGTATCGGCGCTGCCCGTCGGCCGGCTTCGCTCTCCGCCCCCGCCGCTGCCTTTGCCTGCGCCGCCCGCGGCGGCGGCGGGGAGAGCGGCGCTGGGCGGGCAGCGGCCGGGGGCCGAGGGGCGGGCGGCGGCCGCGGGGCCGGGGCTCGGGGGAGCCCATGCGGCGCCGGGCGGCGGCGGCGGCGGCGTCCCCGCGCTGAGCCGGGCCGGGCGGTAGCCAGCCGGGCGGGCGGCCCCAGCCATGCAGCCCGGCGCGCCCGCGGGCACATGGGGCAGCGCTTGAACCGCTGCCTCGATGTGCCCGGCGCGCTCCCGCCGCCGCTGCTGCCGCTGAAGCGGAGGCTGCTGCTGCTCTCCATCATGCTCTTCCTCTGGCTCTACATGTTCTACTCGTGCGCCGGCTCCTGCGCGGCGCTGCCCGGGCTGGCGCCCCGCGGCTCTGCCCCGCCGGAGGAGAGCGGTCCCGGGGAACCGCGGGCAGCGCCCGCCGCGCTCAGCCCCATCTCCGCCTTCCTCAACGGCTCGGGCAGCAAGCGGCTGCCGCAGGCCATCATCATCGGCGTGAAGAAGGGCGGCACGCGGGCGCTGCTGGAGTTCCTGCGGGTGCACCCCGACGTGCGCGCCGTCGGCGCCGAGCCCCATTTCTTCGACCGCAACTACGAGCGGGGCCTCGCCTGGTACAGGTACGGGGCGGGGATGGGGGGAGCGGTTCCGGATACCCTTAAAAAAACGAAAAATGACCCCCCAAACCCGATTAGTTCCTGTCAAGCCTCCGCGAGGAGTGCGCTGTCCGAGGCGGTGCGCGAGGCGGCCGGGCGGCTGCGGGCTTCGCGCTGAGCAAAGCGCACGTCATCTCGAAATAGAGTTAAATATTAATTTTTTCTTCCCCAGCTCTCTCTCCGTGCGGTGGTTTTTTAATCCCTTGCGCCGGAGCTCCGGCCGCGCTCGGACCGGGGCAGCGCTGTCGGGGCGGGGCGGTCCCCGTTCGCTGCGCTGCGTTGCCTTGTTCCGAGATGAGAATTCGCTCTGGATCGCGGGTTTCAGCAGAAACCCTACCAAAAAAAATTATATATATGTGTACATACATATATATATACACACACACATATATATATATATATATAAATAAAAAGGAGGGAGCAGAGGAGAGGAAATAAAAGGGTTACATAGCGAGAAACACGCGAGGCGTTGATTGAAAGTTGAAAACTGGAGCAGAGCGGCGGCCGCACGGGCACCGCATCTCCCTGAGCCCGGAGCGCTCGGGGCCGATGCGTGCGGTACCAAAGCAGCCCGGGGCCGGCGGGTACAGCAGCGGAGTTAGGAGCTGTAACAGCCCTGCAGCCCGTCCTCCTACCCGGATCGCTGGATGGGATTTTGATGCCGCCATCCCGTCCCGAAGGGGATGCGGGATGGGATCGGGCGGTTTCGTGCAGTGAGTTTCTGAGGTTTGAGCGGAGGATGCGGCGTCCCACGGCCACGGGGTGAGACTGATATCCCATCAAATATTAACTTGGCGTTTGGGAAGGAGAACCTGCATATTGCAGAGCGGAGGAGCTGTCAGGATTTATTAGCAAGACGGCGTTGTAGGTGTTGAACTGTGTTTTTAATTAGGCGCCTAAATTAGACCATAAAATGGTTGATTAATCTTTTACAAGGAAGAGGTGGAAGGGGGGAGAAGGAGAGAATAAAGCTTATGATTGCACCAATCTGTTGTCCCAGCACGGGGGGTGGCAGTCGGTATCAAAGGGACACACGGAGTTTTTAACATTTAGAGGAGCTGTCATCAAACTTGGGTTCAACTTCTCCCATGATTTCTTCTTATCAGCTGCTCCATTTCCAGCCGAATGGGCCCTACCCCTGTGAGCACACTGCTGGGGGGCTGAGCTGGGGTTTTTTGCTCTTTTAGCTGTGTTCTGGGCAGCTCTGGGTGGCTGTAGAGTCCCAAGGTGGCTCTTGGGTAACCCGAATGGGTTGAGGAGAAGGAATGCAAAATCGTGCTCAGTGCACTGAGGAGAATGGTAATATTTGCCCAAATAATGGCTGGGTGCTTTGCAAATTCTGCCTTATTTCTGAGTTGGGTTTGAATGAGACGCAGGAATTGGGCGGGATGAATTTCGGTGTTACAAATCAGATCCTGCATAACTGCAGACTGCCCTGAACCTCAATGCGTTTTGGTTTCTCAGCGCTCCACAGGAGCGTGCTTATTGCCACGAGCCCCACTGAGGCTTTTATTTATTATCTGAACATCAATAAGGAGAAGCGTTTCTGTTTGCTTGTTAACGGCCCCATAAAAGCAGATAAAACCCGCTGTAAAATATCTGCCTTGCTGAGCAGGGTGTGCCTCAGCTCTGCTGCTCGGGGGCTTTTGCACAGTTCTCCGTGGGGCCGTTCCGTGCTGCAGCGCCCATCGCCGCCACTTCAACCCATCGCCATTGGGACCATGGGGACACAACTCTTGGCTACTGGAAGGAGATTTTCTTCCCATGGATCTGAGCTGATCAGGTTGGATCTGGGAGTTTTGCTTTGGTTTGGTTGTGTTTTTCTTTCCTTCTCTTTCTTTTTTTTTTTTTTTTTTTTTTCAGTTTCTTCCTGCCGTGCAATGCCATCTTCCAATGGAAATTTTGTGCAGATTGATGAGAGGCAGAAGTCGTGGCAATTTTGCTTGTTTTGCTTTGATGAGAGCTTAAATTTCGGGTGTATTTGTGATTAATTTTACCAATCTCAGTGCTGTGCTGTGCAGGAAGGTCCTGCACACAGCGAGAAACTTGGGAATGAGGGAGAGCAAACTTTTTCTTGCTCCATTTGTTACATGGAGGCGTTTAAATGGAATAAAATACATTTCCCCTTATGCTTGCAGAAGGCAGAACAGCATCAAGTGGTGCCGAGCTGCTAAAAAGCAGAGGGAAGAGAGGGGAAAAACTCACCAACAGTGGGATAGCTGGGAATCCAATGGAAACAACCCCGTGTGCGTGTTGCGGGGCTCTCCCCGGTAATGAAAGCAACATGTTAACCAGTCCCAGGGAAAATATCCACCATGACAGAGGAGAAATGGGATCCAGCCATGCTGAGAACTAATTGCGAGGAGCACGTGGAATTTTGGGGCGATAAATGAGTTTCCTCAGTCGGGCTGCACCGCGAGCAGCCTGCGGGGAGCTGCTGTGTGCGTGTGGGGTGCTGCTCGTATGGGGATTGCTTCTTCCCTGGGATACAGGGAAAAATAATTTATATATTAATAAATTTTATATATATATATATAAATAATATATTTTTAAAATATATATATATATATATATATTTAGTTTCCTAAATAATGGTGTGTTTTTAACAGGGTGGGGACTTGAAACCCTTTGGTCCTGTAATTAATGTACGGTAAGGAAACAAAGTCACACTTAGGATTACACATTTTCGGGCTGGTTTTTTGTTGTTTTTTTTTTTTCCCCTTTATTTCTCATGTTGAGCCCCGTGGGCTCAGCCCCATGCCCTATGGGACTGCACTGTGCACTCCTGGCCCCATAGCAGATCTATCTGCTGAGCACTCAGCCTTCACCAGGATCCCATGCCCTGGCTGTGGCTGCTCGAGGAGCCAGGCCGTGTTCTCTTTTTTCCCCCCTCCCCTTTGTGTTTTATGTAATATTTGGATTATTAGTTTGATTTCTCCAATTCATTCCCCCCCCCCGAATGATTCAGATCCATTTATGTGCAGTGCATTCCTAAATTCCAGGTCACCCCAGTAAGCAGTGGGGATGTTATTGCACAGGGTGCTGCTTTGTGCCGATTCTCGAATGATGGGAAAAATCCTCGTTTGGTGTTGTTTGCTGTTTTTGCCCCCAGGAGCGTCCTTTTTGGCCCCCAGGGTGGGTGTGTGTGAGAAGCAGAGTTAAGGTAACACATCGGGTGGCTGTAGCCATGCTGAAACCAGGGTAAATCTGAGCGAGATGGAGTTTTAGCCTGCATTTGGCCATTGTAAAGCATGAATTTAAGGTGGCAGTGAGTGTAACACCCCTGATGCCTTCTGTCCCCCCAGCCAGGCACTTGCTAACAGCTCCCATCGCTCCTGGAGGCTTCTCATCGCTGGGGAGTTTGGGAATGGAGGCAGTTCTCCCAGCAGCTTTGTGTGGAAACCCCATAGCTGGGCGAAGAGCAGTTCCCCCAGTGCGATGCCGGGGCTGCGCTGCCGGCAGTGAGCACATCCCAATGGGGTGGTTGCATTCGCCAGGGTCGCTCTGCCAATCCTGTTGAGATTTTATTTGCTTTACATTAAAAAAAAAAAAAAAAAAAAAAGCTAAAAATATTAGATGCATCTGTTAATCGATCTATATTGTAATATACAATTTTATATAGAGATATGTGATGTGTAGATGAACAAATCTTGGCTTTGCGTTGCGCTGTGCTGGGGCGAGTGGGGGTTCCCAGCGCCCTGCCCATAGGCTCGGGGTCCCGTGTGCCCCTCCAACACCACCAGGCCAATTTCCTTAGCGAACGGCCCCGAATCGCGGGGCTGGGGCTGCTGGAATCAGTCAGCAAGGCCCTTGTGTTCGCATGGGATCATTCCTCCAGATCTGAGGAGGGTTGAGTTGTTCAAACAGATGGCAAAGATTATTCGTGTCGCCGGGGTTTCAGCGCTCCGCTGCGCTTCCAGCATGTTGCCCGATACGACGCACGTGACGAGGCCTTCCCAGCACGACGCTGGGGGGACGACATTGTCTGCAGTGATCGGGTTTCATGGCCTCACCTGTCGAGCTGCTGAGCTCCTCGGCGTTGGCCGTGCTTTGGGGGGGACGTGGTGGGCTGCTGCATGGATATGGCAGCGCCGTGTGCCACGAGCTGCGCCCAGGCGTGGGAATGGTGGGAGGAAAGCCGTGGGCTGGGCTCTGGCTTAAGGATTTCGTGAATTTTTTGTGTATTTGAGCTCTGTGATCTCTTCCCCATACGTGGCTGGATGCGGTGGCTCTAAAACTTGCCTTCATGGAGCTGTATTGTCTCACCATCAGGCCCCGCTCGCTGAACTGCTCTGTCTGCTCCAGCTCGGACTCGGTGTCATTAATCCATCCTAATTAAGTGATCTTTCAGCAGCAGCGCTCACCTCTTCTGGCCGGTGTGACCGTGGGTGAGCAGTGGGTCACAGGGCTAAGCAACGGGCTGCACGGTGCGGGACAGCCAGCACGTGGCTCCAAGAACAACAAATCCCAGGGCTCGTTATTTCAGCGGTGTAATTAGGGGGTCAGGGGGCATCGACGCTACCTGTTGTCACTCTGCAGGGAGTGACTGGAGGGGACGCCTCCTCCTGGCAGTGAGTAAGTGCTGGGTTGGGACTTGCTGACTGTACCAGGCTTGCCCAATTTCAGGTCTTTCAGCAGCTGATGGGGAGTTTCTTAATTAGCTCATGAGCAATGAACGCTGGGTGCTTCAGCGAGGAGCTCGGCCTGGTGGCTGTCAGCAGAGCCAGCTGGGTCGATGGCCCATTTCTTCACTTTGTTAACAGCAAGGAGGGGGCTGGGGGTGACGTGTCGGTTAGCAGCCTGGGTTAATTTGAGGTCCTGGTGATGCTGTTGGACTTGGTGGTCCTGTGGGTCCCTCCCAACTTGGGATATTCTGAGTTTCCACAGAAGTGGTTGCGAGGTGCACAGAGCCACATTCAGAAGGGTCACCAAGGTCCCAGCAAAGGGTCCTCTGTGCTCCTCCTGCCTGGGACAGCAGGGACTGTGCAGGCATGATGTACAGAAGGCCTTACAGTTCATTCATAAGTGCTGCAGAAAGGAGATCAGTTCTTATCTCTTCTTCAGAGGGTTCCCTGTGATGGCTTTTCTCTTTGCAATAACTCTGAAGCTTCAAGAGTGGCTTTGAATGCAGTGTCCCCATGCTGGACGAAGTGAGGGACCTCGGGAGGAGAGGAGCGGGCATGTGAGGGGCTGTTTGCGGGCTGCTGGCATCCCACATCAGTGTGCTGGCTCTGGAGATGTGTGTGCTCCTGCCTCAGGGGCTTGGTGTAGGAACCTGCTTTGGACTCAATGATCCCTGTAGGTCCCTTCCAACCCCTGCGATTCTGTGATTCTGTATGGAGAGGCTGAGCATTGTGGTGGTTGGGGGTTGTGATGCTGCTAGTGGGAACATCTGAGGAGAAGCCAGCCGTACAGAAGTGCATGCAGAAGACCTCACATTGACTTCAAGTAAATGAACAATTCACTACTTTTTTTTTTTTTTTTTTTTTTTTTTCCTTCTCCTGTTGCAATACATGAGTGTGACAGGGCCCCTTGGCACGGTGGGTAGCAGGGAAGGTGAGAACTTAAAGAATAATGCCACGTTCTGCTAAATTCTTTACATGTCCTTCCAGTTCCTCAGGAACACCCTGGAGCCAGCTGTGTTCAGTATCTGTCCCCACTGAGAGACACTGTGACTTAGGGCTGCCTTTGATTCTGTTACAGCAGCGGAACATGCACCCCTGAGCTCACCTGCAGCTCGAGGGCAGCAGTCCCACTCATGAGGCTGGTGCAGTGCCATCCTCAATATTACACTGCTCCTATTCAGAGCTTTGACCCAGCCAGCCCACTCTGTGCTGCTGCAGGGCCTTCCTGAAATCCACCAAGTGCCTCGTGTGTGAGAAAGGGAGAGATCTTGGAGCCTCCCCATCGAGTTGGCACAGCCAGTTCCCAGCAGTGTGAGCTGCTGGCAGACCTGCAGTCAGCTCTTCCAGCAGCAAATGGGGATTTTGTGTAGGTTTTTTATTTTATAGGCCTGCACAGAGCATTATAGGTGGATATGTATGTTACACATCCCTTGCTGAGTGTGAACGTGAGGCCAAATCCTGTGGCACAGTGCAGCTGGAGTGGGAGCACTGATGCTGGTGCTTAGCATGCTTTGCTGCATGGGCAGGCTGCTCTGCACCAACTGGATGTGGCCCCAAAACTTTGCTGCATTCAGTGCCCTCTGAACAGGCTCAGGTCCCTGGTGTGTGTTTGAGTGGTGGAGCTGTTAAACATTCCTCCTGAAGCATGCACGTTGTCCTTTTGGGCAAAAGCCATTACTTTGATTAACTTCGATAAAGCAACTCGAAGAAAACAGTTGTGAACAACACTGTTCTAACACTGGAAGCTCCTCTGGGTATTGAATGCAAACTTGTCTGAAAATCAGCAAGTGTGCTGCATGCTGGTGAGCTGTGGGTGGGGAGCAGCACCGTCACTGGGGATCCACCTGCAGCAGGATTGCAGGTTTTGTCCCATGTACCCCATGTGCAGGAGGCTGAGCACTCAGAGCCAAGACCTTCCGTCACTAGGGGGAGGAAAAAACCCCGATGCTTTATTCACCAAGTGCTCTGCTGCTTCATCAGGCTGTGAAATATTTGCTTAAAAACTGGCAAGGCCTGCAGCTCTGGCATGCCTGCTGCTTAGTTTGGTTGTTGTTTTTTTTTAAGCTGTGTTAGACTTGGAAGGAAGGCAGGAGATGCAGGAGTCAACCGGGGGGAGGCAGCAGCTTCGTGAGCCCAGTGAACCAGGTAAGGGGTGGTA